GGAGACATCTTTGCTCTTCAGCACTTGAAAGAGGTCCTTTGCAGCCAATTTGCCCAGTGCTATATGTTGTCTTATTTCCTGACTGTTCTTCCATTGGTGTCAATTGTAGAACCAAGCAATGTGAACTCTTTGACAATTTCAATCTTTTCTCCATTTATCATGATGCTGCTTATGGGTCCAGTTGTGAGGATTTTGGTTTTCTTTATATTGAGATATAATCCATAATGCAGACTGTATTCTTCAATCTTCATCAGTAAGTACTTCAAGTGATCCTCACTTTCAGCAAGAAAAGTTGTGTCATCAGTGTATCGCAGGTTGTTCATGATTCTTCCTCCAATTCTGATGCCACATTCTTCTTCATATAGTCCAGCTTCTTGGATTATTTGCTCAGCATACAGATTGAATAAATGCCCTAGATGGCCCTAATGCACAGTGGGGTTGGAACCACTGCTCTAGACTGCACCCCTTGAGGGCAGAGTCCTAGAGGACACCATTTGCTGTTTAATGCCAATGTCAGGACAGGGCCTAGTAGACTTGCTGAATTAGTAGAAGAATGAATGAATGAATAATACCTATTTGGGCCTCAGTCTTCTCAGCAATAAAATGGGTGTAATATTGGGGCTATTGTAAGAAAGCAATGTACTGAATGAAGGACAGTTACCCTCTCTGTAGCTTCTAAAATGCTATTAACACTAGTTAGCCTTGACCCCTCCAACCAAAACTCCCTTCTTCCTACTTTGGTTTTCCTCATAGTTTTTTTCATCTTCTAATATACTTTATATTTTACTGTTTTTCTCTTCACTGCCCATCCTCCCCCATAAGAATGGAAGCTCTGGGCAGGGGGCAAGTATTTTGTCTATTTATTGAGCTTAAACCAAACCAAACTCACTGCTATCGAGTTCAACCTGACTTATAGTGACCCCTCCTTGGGTGTCTGAGGCAGTATCACTATGGAAGTAGATTGCCCAACCTTCCTTCTGAGGAGTGGGTTTGAACTGCCAGCCTCTGGTTAGCAGTCAAATGTCTTAGCCACTATGCTACCAGAGCTCCTATTTATTGATCTCAGTGCCTTGCAAAGTGACCAGGTATTCAATAAATACTTGTGGAATGAATGAATGGATGGATGAATGAACAAACAGGACTATTAATATCACCTCACAGGGATAGAAAAACTCAACATGGTGGTAAGAAAGAGGAAGCTGACCTCACCTCTGGCCCACCAACATCCCTTCTCCTCCAGGGCTCCACAAGAGACAATGCAGACAGCTAAGTAAGAGGTTCAGGGGAAAGTGGCTGATATTGTCACCAAACAAAGGTGTTGCAGATAGCACTAATTCTCCCAGATACCCACCACCAGATAGGGGTTCTGCCTGGGACCTGAGCTCCCCTGTTCTCCCTCCATACTTTCCCAAGTGGGTACCGCTGGCCTGCCATAGAGCAAACTCCACCATGTTCGCCGGGGCCAGGGCCAGAGAACTCAGTATAAGTGGCTTTGGCAAATATTTTTCCAACCACCCAGAGGCTCTTTTCTTAATTTAGAAAAGAATCCTCTCCCTTCTCAGGTGAGCTGTTTCCTCTTTGTTAAGGGCTCTTGGTCTCTCTGGGTATCTACTGAGAGTGGGGAACCCTGGGACCCCAGCCAGGAGCTGGTCTAGGTCTGTGTTTCCCCTTTCCCACCACCTATGCTAAGTTCCCACCCCCATGCAGAGTGAGACCACCACTGGTTGCTTTATGAGCTGGGACTGGAAGGAGCCTTTTCCACTCACACCTCATCCATCAGAAAGTGTTGGAGCCCAGAGGGTAAGTGAGTGGGGAGAGGGAGTCCTTCTGCGTTCTCTGAGCCAACCAAAGCCATGTGTCCCCAGCTCACAGGCAGCCACGGACTCCTGTCTGTCTCTAGCCAAGGACGTGTAGAAGGGGACGGGAGCACGTGATCCTCCAACTCCCCCTGAACCATGGGAACCCTCAGAGAAGGGGCAGGATGGAGCTAGGAGACCACAGCTGTCTAGATGAGAACCAGATGGCCCGAGAGAGAAGGCAGCTATGGTCACAGCTGGGAGCCAGGGCCTAAGCTTAGGGCATGGTCGTAGGCCTCTGTATCTACTAGAAAACTCATCAGCAATTTAGGATTTTCCTGCACAAGGTGATTGACTCTTGGCCTGCATTGTCCTCAGCCTGTTTCCTGGGCACCTACTATGCTGCAGGCCCTCTGGTAGGATCAGTAGGGAGAGCAACAAACCAGCATTGCACGTTCTGGTTGATAAGGCAAGACTCATGGCTGCAAATAACTAAGCTAAGATAGGCTAAGTGTCCCTGAGCAGAGTGAAGGCTTATGGCCTGAAGGCTGGGTGTTCCAGGAGAGCTTCATGCAACTGGATTTGAGCCTTGGTGGATGGGAGGCCTGGCTGGAGAAGTTGGTAAGTGCCTTTTAAGAATCCTGGGGCACTGTAAGCTATAGACCCACCACCTAGGAAAACCGCAGACTTTTCCCCAAAAGGTGTTCAAAGAGGAGATGGTCAAGCAGGGTTCTGGTGGAGCGCAGGGCGGGGAGGGGGCTGGAGGAAGAGCCACCACAACATTCCTGAATGTATGGGGAATTCATTGCCTTTGTGGCGCATTCTCCCTTCCATCTATAATGACTGGGCATTCACCTGGCCTATCAGTAGACTCAGAGAAGTCATTGACTTGCCCAAGGTCACCCAATTAGGAAATGGTGAAGTCGGGGTAAGAACTCAGGTCTAACTGACCCCAGAGCCCACTCTCGCAAAGTCTCTGCTCGTCTTGCTACTGGATCACACGGCCCCAGGCACTGGGCAGGTAGACACCATGGGCTCCTTCTCCCACAGGATGAGACCGAGGCTCAGAGAGAGCCGTTCATCCAGTCGGCAGTGGAGCCTGGGCTAACAGGGCCGTCCTGTCTGGGAAGATGGTGCTCTTTCCACCCACCACATATATTGGAGAGTGGCCTCCCCAGAAGCAGCTGGGCCCTGACAGGAGTACATCAAACCAGTGCCAAGGTCTCAGAACACCCCATTAACGTTGAAGGGGGGGTACCTCCTCCAAGACCAGGTGCTCCCTGCCCCCAGGTAAGAGTGGAACCAGGGCATCTGGAAGGTAAGCAGGACCCTCAGAAAGCCTTTCTCACCTCCTACCAACACTTCCTGTGCTCAGGGAAGCTGGGCTGGGCTGAGGAAAGGCAGGCAAGTGGGTGGGAGTGCACACAGCTCTTGAGCCTGAAGACCTGGCTCACTGGCACCCCACTTAGCAAGGCAAAGCATCAAAATCAAGGGTGTACCTTTCGTCCAACAGGTCCTGGATTCCCAGGGTGCCCAGGCAAGCCCATGTCACCCTGCAAAACACAGACAAGGGTGGTGAGGTAAGGGAACAGGAGCAGAAACACTCACTAAATTGTAAGCATGACCTCAAATGGCTGGTTGCTTCCAAGCAGGGTTCATGGAGGCCTACAGGCTTCAGAAGAGTTGTGGGGGCTGCTTAGTGACATGAGGGAAGCTACTCAACTCAGTAGCTCCACTTGACCTATTTCACACATTGGGCTTTGGCATAAGATATCATTTGATGAATGGGTTCTGTGGCCAAAACCATGTTTAAAAGCCTAGGGCCGCAAGGACTTGTACCACCCCCCCATCTTTCTCATTCCAATCAGTTCTCTCTGCATTCCTGAGATATCTTTCCTTCTGCCCATCCCCTCATCCTTGCCAGGGCATGGCAGACCCTGAGCAGGGGGTATTTCTGGCACCACCATTGGGACCTGAGAGTGGACAAGGCAGAAGAGCTGGAGGGTAGCTCAAGATCAGGGACTTTGAGACCTGGGCACAAATCCCAGCACTGGCACTTAGCAGCTACATGACCTCGAGCAATCCACCCCTCTCTGTGGCCTCAGTTTCCTCACCTGCAAGCAGGGTTATAAGCCCCGGCTTATAAGGTTATGATGGGATTACTATATTTTCACATATAACGTACCACATAAATAACATGCACCTGTACATAACAAACATGGCGCACATAGGAAAGTAATGTGCGAGGCAGTTACACGATTTGCAAAAAAAAAAAAATCACAACCATATAACATGCATGTTATTTGTGTAAAAATATGGCAGATGGGTGTGTATGCGGAGACCATCTGGAACCTTGGACTGCATTGAACTAATCAACAAGGAGCTTAGGAACAAGTCCCCAGTGTCTCAGGGAAATCAATGGGACCAAGCACTTCTGTGTGCACAAGCACAGGCGACCATGCTGAGAAGCAGCATCGTGTCAGAGGGCTCTTGGGCTGTGCCCAGAAGGAAGTCAGGTGGACTTGAGTGAGTGTTCCTTCCAGGGCATGTACATCCCCTCCCAGCTCCCAGCCTTTGAATGCCTGCTGAAAGCTTCCTGGGCACATGCTTCCCAGAGGCTTCTAGAACTCAAGGGCACCTCTAGGCTCTGCAGGACACCAGGCAAAAGGATATTCACCAAGGATGTGTCCATAAGCAAAAATCTTTGTGTCTACTTTATTGGTTGCACTCCAGAAGAAGAGTAGTGGAGAACGGTCTTAGGTTTGGTGTTGGGAAAGGCTGAAGGACTTTAAGGAAAGAAAGTGTGGTTACATCCTGATCTTTCTAAACTTCCCACCTCCCTGCCTTTGTCAGGCAGAGGCTTTGGCCAGATGGGCTCACCCAGAGTGTGGCTGTTTTCCTAGTGTCCACTCCCATGCTTCCCTGAGCCTGGAGTCCCTGGTAACCTACCTTTGCCCCATCGTGGGCCTTTCCTGGTGAGAGCCCCGGGTCCCCTTTCTGTCCCTGAAACAAAAACAATTCCACTTTGGCTACTGAATCATGTCTAAAGAGTTTACCTCTCCACAAACTCTGCTTATAGCCATCCCCCCACTTATGCACTCTCCATCCATCCCCCCAATTCACACACTTCTGGAGTTGCTTTCTCTGAATCCATTACTCCCCCTCTCTAACACCTCCCCTAGCTCCCACTGATTGCATGATGACCAGATCCAAGCTCTTCCTTCTGGTGTCTGAGTCATCCATAATTGGGCCCCGGTCATCCTGTCTGAACTTTGCTCTCCTTTGCCCAGCTGCATCCACAGACAGGGGTCCTTCCACTCCAATCACCAGCCCATAGCCCACTGCCTGCTCAGGCCCTGTGCTTTTCTGCTTCTAGGTCAATGACTTAGGCAACGTCCTTCCCACGTAGAGAACCATTCCCCTGCATTATGAGCCAAACCCTAAATATTCTTCAAGATGCAGCTTGAATGCGTCCTCTCCAACGACCTGTAGGTCTCGGGGCCCACCACCCAGGTAAGCGGGATGTGCATGTGACTGTTGTTAGGACTGCCTCCTAGTTTGTTCTCCGGGGGCTCGCTGAGAGTTTCTGGGAGAGAACTCGTTAACTCCCACTGGTCTCAGGCACCCAAGACAATTCTGCCCAACTCCAAAAGGCACGTCTGATTCTTCTCGATATTTCAGGGTGCTGATGCATCCTCACTGTTCTCTCATTAGCAGAGCGTCAACACACAGACAGCCACTTACCTCTGTGTACAGCCCTTCGCAGTTTGCAGTATTCCTCACCTCACTAGAGCCTCACAGCCTGATGAAGTGGGTGTCAGGGGTTGGATTGTGCTCCCCAATAGACATGTGGAGTCCTAATACCCAGTCCTATAAGTGGGACTTTGTTTGGAAATAGGGTCTGTGATGTTATCAGTTAATATGTGGTTATGCCAGAGTTGGGTGCATCTTAATCCCATCTGAGAGATGTCCTTATAAAAAAGAAGCAACAGAGAGACAGAGAGCGGGAAGATGGCCATGTGGTGGCGGCTGCAAGTCAAGCAATGCCCGGAGTGACCAGGAACTCAGAGAAAAGAAAGGCCCTTCCCCTGGAGCTTTCAAACAGAGCAGGACACGAAAAACCCAGTGCCATCAAGTGGATTCCGACTCATAGTGACCCTACAGGACAGAGTAGAACTGCCCCATAGGGTTTCCAAGACTGTAAAGCTTTTTCTCCCCTGGAGTGGCTGGTGGGTTCGAACTACAGCAGCCCAGTGCTTTAACCACTGCACCACCAGTACTCTGAACATGACCCTGCCAATACTGAATTTGGACTCTTAGCCTCCAGAACCATGAGATGATACATTTCTGTTCTTAAAAGTCACCACTTTGTGATATTTTATTATGATAGCCCTATGGGAGCTCTGGTGGCATAGTGCCTAGGGCATTTGACTTGCAACCAGAAGGCTGGCGATTCAAACCCACCAGCCACTCCTCGGAAGGAAGACTGGGCAATCCACTTCCATAGAGATACTGCCTCAGAAACCCAAGGAGGAGTCACTATGAGTCGGATTCAACTCCAAGCAATGAGTGAGTGAGAGTGAGGAGGCTAATAGCTCTGGTAGTGTAGTGCCTAAGGCACTTGACTGCTAACCAGAAGGCTGGCAGTGCAAATCCACCAGCCACTTCTCAGAAGGAAGGTTGGGCAATCTACTTCTGTAGTGATACCACCTCCGAAACCTAAGGAGGGGTCACTATGAGTCAGGTTCAACTCGACAGCAGTGAGTTTGGTTTTTGGTAAGAAGACTAATGGGAGCTCTGGTGGAGTAGTGCTTAAGACATTTGACTGCTAACCAGAAGGCTGGTGGTTCAAACCCACCAGCCAGTTCCTAGAAGGAAGGCTGGACAATCTACTTCTGTAGGGATACCACCTCGGCAGCCCAAGGAGGAGTCACTATGAGTTAAATCAACTCAATGGCATTGAGTTTGGTTTTGTTTTTTAAGGAGGTTAATACAGTGGGCAAGACAAGGGTTATGCCCCATCGTACATTCAGGGAAACAGACCGGGAGAGGAAAAGGACTGAGGTGCAAGATAAGGCATCGGCAGAGCTGAGACAAGCACCCGGAGTTTGTGACTCTCAGACCTGGGCCCTGGGCTGCCCTGGGACCCAACATGTTAGACCAAGCAGTGGGTCCACGAGTCAGATTCGAAGAGCCACTGTGCCAGGCACATGGGAGAGTCTCCACACAAGGATCCTGGCACCTTAAAGGACGAGGCTCAGGAAAAGGGCCAACAGAGCTCTTAGCTGTGTCTCCTCCAGTGCTAAAATAAACGAGTCTGGGTCTGCCCCTCTGGTTTGACCCAAACAGTTGAATTACTCAGATAACCGTCTTTTGGGTGACACTGATATCACCTCTCAAGTGTTCTGATGCCCTGAGTCCTCCCTCCCTCCCTGCCTCAACTGGGCCCCAGTAGAAGTCCCTGAGCTGAAGCCCCCACCTGCCACAGACTCGTGGTGGAGCCTCATCAAGTGACTTCACCTCTCCGAGCCTCGGTCTCCTCACCTTTGAAATGGGCACACACACACACACACACACCGGCTGGCTTCACGGGTCTCCTGGCAAAGAGCCAGTGAGATAATGACCAAGGTGCAGGGGAAGGACGGCTTGGCCAACTGCAATGATTTCCCTTTTGGTTCTTATCTTCATTAGAACTCAGACCTGCCAAATCCTGACTCAGTCAATCTCCACAAGAAATGACTGCATCCAACCTGGAAAGAGGCCACAGAAAAAGCCAGCCACTGCTCACCTACTATGCCCCAGACACTGTGTGGCTCTCTGCACTGTTCTATGTGTTAACCCCTTCATCCTCACAAGCCCCACCTGGTTTACGTAAGGACAAAGTCTGGGGTTTGAGAAGTTAAATAAGAGCCTGTGGTGCCCACAGAGAAGAGGCAAAGGCAGCCTAGGCTCCCAGTCTATCTGACTTCAAAGCCCTCACAAAAGGGAAACTTGGCTGCTTCTCCCACACTCCCCCACCCCTAGCCCAGCAGCTCCGGCTCTCCGGCCAGCTGCCCCAGGCTGAAGTCCAGCTCTTTCCCTGCTAGGCCTTCAGAATCCCAACTCTCTGTGCACCTGAGCTTCAGCATAGATACCTTCATGAATGGGTCCCTCTGCTAAAACCACAAGACCTGTGGCCACTTCCTCTGCAGGATCCCACTTCTGGGTTCCACTACCTTACATTGCAACTACCCCCTCGCATTCTCCCACCTCAGCACTCACAAGCCAGCTCCAATGCCTTTTATGTCCATGATGCAATGCCAGGCCAGGCCCAGGGCTACCGAGGATTCCAATAGCCAAAAAAGGACAGCAGCTACTCCCCGCCCTGCCCTCGCCCCCCTCTTTCTGCAGCCTATAGAGGAGTCTGACTTGCAAGCTTTCAGGGACAGACCTCTGTGTATCCTATTTTGTCATTATACAAAAAGGGAAACTGAGACCCAAAGAGGTGCTGGACTTGTGCCCTTGCCCAGGGTCCTGCCCCAGGTTCTTCACGTGGGTTATTTATGAATGCCTCCCTGCACCCTCAGCTGTCAGCACAGTGCCAGTATGTAATCCCCACCCGAGTGCAATACAGGTATTTACTGAACATCTACTATGAGCCAAATCTCACAATAAACGCAGAGAATACCACGACGGTGAGCAAGACTCAGCTCATACCCATGTGGGTCTCCTGGGAGAAACCAGAGGCTGGTAAGGATAATACAACTAGTATTTACTGAGTGCTCTTCTAAGCCCTTGACACATGTGAGCTCATTTAATCGTCACACTAAATCTATGAGTAGCAACTATCATTTTCCTCATTTTACAGAAGAAAAAAACTAAGGCAAAGGGCAGATAAGGAACTTGTACAAGACTTAGACTCAGGCTGTCTGGTTCCAGAGCCCATGCTCTTTACATTTCAGTGCACTGCAGATGAAACCCTACCATCCAGTGGTAAGTGGAGGGAGGGTATAGGAGGAAGTGGAGAACTGCACCCAGACTGAGGGTAAATTCCTGAAGAGGGGTACAGTTAAGCTATGGCCGGAGGAAGACAAGGAGGGAGCCAGATGGAGATCAAGGGATGTCTGTAGCATTCCTAACAGGGTGAAGGTATGACTTTTGGGATGGAGAAAACTCTCCACCCCAAAATACAACTTCCCGGCCATATTTCTGTAAATTCTCCCAGTGAGAGATGGAAGGAACACATAAAGTTTTATTAATCATTTACACCTTGCTGAGGATGAGAACCTGTTTGCCAGACCCAGTCCTTCAGTCAAGAAGTCTGTGTGCCCTTGGGCAACCCCCTTTCCCTCTCTGAATGGGGAACAGTGAACTCTGCCTGGACAGTTAACAGAGCTGTGTGGGACTAGAAGATGAGAGGAAGGTGTTTTTCAAACTGTGTGCAAATAACACAGCAGGACTGGGAGGTCTGTGGAGCTTCTTTTCTGCTGGTGGAGTTGGGAGTTGGCAAAGCATAAGAGGGCTCTAGCTGGCTGAGGCCTAGAGGAGGGCTGAGACAAGGGAGGGTCAAACCACAAAGAATTGGGAAATTCTGGGCTGGTAGCCCCTTGGGTAAGTCATGTCTGATCCCAAGTACCCAGCACAGGGCCTGAACTGGGTATCATAAAATGTTTCACACATTAGCAAATTAATGAATGGAATCTCAAACAACAATTCTTCTAGTGCTGCGATTGGACCAGATCTGGCCCCAGTTTTGGAACATTCCCTGAAGATTTACTGGGCCTCCAACTACCACTACTGCTATTCCATGTTGTTAGAAGTTCCATACAATAAGGCAGGAAAAGCAAGAAGAATTAGTAATCTTCGAAGAAAAGGAGACAAAAGTATACCTTCTTTGCAAACAATATGACTGCTTCTCTGGGAAACCCAGCAGAACCAAAGGAAAAGTCCTTAATACTAATGAGATAATTCAGTAAGGGGAATGTTTATGAAAATAAGCACAAAAATGCAAAAATTAATCTTTTTTTTTTTTCAATAACTGAGAGCCAGCTAGAAAATATATGGGGAATAATATTCCATACACAATAGCAACAAAAAATATTAAATTTCTAAATATAAACTTAAGAAATGTGCAGGGCTTATGCAATAACAATTGTAAAAGCTTACTAAGAGACATCTTGTTGTTGTTGTTGTTGTTATGTGCCGTCGAGTTGGCCCCGACTCATAGCGACCCCTCCTTGGGTTTCTGAGGCAGTATCACTACGGAAGTAGAATTGCCCAACCTTCCTTCCAAGGAGTGGCTGGTGGGTTTGAACCATCAGCCTTCTGGTTAGCAGGCAAGTGACTTAGCCACTATGCTACCAGAGCTCCCAAGAGACATCTTACAAACAGCCAAATGAGAAAACATGCCGTGTGTGGCAGTTAAGGTTATGTGTCAACTTGGCTGGGCCTGGTTGAATGGCTGGGCAGCTAAATGCAGCTATTCCCCATGAGGAAAGTGGTGGTCAACTCCATCGTGGAATCTACTGGAGCAGCTGAGTAGCTGTCTTACGGATGTGGCCTGCTTCCAGTAGATAAGAAGATGCTTTGAGAAAGGTCTCTGAGATTTTTGACACATCTGGATCCTACACGTAGCTGAGTCTTCAGTCAGCAGCCTGCCATGTTTTCTGCCGATCTTGGGACTATCTCTGGACGTGAGCTGTGTTGTTTGGTAATCTTGGGACTGTGCCATTTTATTTGCCAACCCTGGGTTTGTCAGCCTCAGCAGCCAGCAGCTGCCTGAGTTAAGAAAAGCCTCCAGCTTCAGTGGGCTAGGAGCAAGCAGCAGAGCTGACGGTCAAGGTCAAGGGGCCTTTACTCAGCCCCTAGAGCTGGCACTTTGAACTCAGACTTCTAGCCTCCTAAACTGTAAGAAAATAAATCCCTGTTTGTTAAAGCCACCCATTTTTTCTGTTAGCATGCAGTAGAGAACCAAAACACCATGTTTAGATAAGAAACTTAATATTTAAAAGATGTCAATTCTTCATAAATTAATGTATATATTTAATACACCCCAATAAAAATGCCAATGGAATTTTTTTAAAAGGAAGTTGTTAAGATGGATCTAAAGTCCATCTGGAAGAATAAATAACCAGAAATACTTTTAAAGAAGAGAAACAAGGAGAGAGACACAGTATGGAGATTGTAAATGCCATAGAAAATAACATTTTACTAGCATAAAAATATACAATCAGAGCAATGGAAGATAACAGGATGGCCTAAAATAAGCCCTGGACCATTATACGAGAACAAATGGAGGAACACTGACTCAATAAATGTTTGACTACTGGGAGGAAGTAAAGTTAGAGTCTACCCCACACTTCCCCATGAAGATTAATTCCAAAAGGATTATATTTTTAAGAGTATAAATTGTATGTATGAAATAATCAGAAATGTAAGTGAGTATCTATCTGATCTTAGGATGGAAAAAAAAATTCTGCATAAAAGCAAAGTAGAGAATCATAGGTTTTACCTACAAGGAAAGTTCTCCCCAAACTACCTGACACCTAATAGATGTTAGTTATTACTCCGAGTCAGAAGGAAATGGCTAATATTCTGTGAAAAAAAAAAAAAAAATCCATGGATATTCTCCAGGCAAATTGTAAAATATTCTTAAGACAGGTAAAGCCTTAAAAATTTTAATATGTAAATATAAATCAGTCTTACAAATCAGTAAGAGAGACATCTCAACCCTAAATATGAACAAACTCATAAATGAACAATTCATTAAAAAAAAAAAAGCTGTTGAGTTGATTCTGACTCCTAGTGAGCCGCCTACAGGACAGAGCAGAATTCCCCAGAGTGTTTCCAAGGCTGTAAATCTTCGTGGAAGCAGACTGCCTCGTCTTTCTCCTGTGGAGCAGCTGGCGGGTTCAAACCTTGACCTTTTGGTTAGCAGCCCAATGCTTTAACCACAGCTCTTCCAGAGCTCCTGAATTCATAAAAGTTGAAGTACAAATGGAAAACAGATGTAAGAAAAGCCTGCTTCCTTATAGATGATCGATGAAGTGAAATGAAAGCAATCATGAATTGTCATGTTTTTAATTATTTTTTAAGTATCATCTTCTAATGGTAGCAGGAGCCCTGGTGGCACAATGATTAAGCACTCAGCTGTGGAGAGGTCAACGGTTCAAAACCATTCAGGTGCTCTGTGGGGGGAAAAGAGACCTAGGAAACCCTATGGGGCAGTTCCACTTTGTGCTAGGGGGTCACTATGAGTCGGAATCGACTTGACTTGTCTACATTTTCTTACTGAGCAGGTTCTACCTCAGTTATCAGAGGATGGAGGGGAGGTAGGCTGGGGGCTGAGGCCTGAGAACCCTATGGAATCCCCTCTGGGCTTGGGCGTTGACTTGGCAGGATTGTAGGGCTGGCCTCCCCCAGGTCCTGTTGCCCCCTCCTCTTGCAGCATGGTGTTCACTTTAAGCAAACGACCTGAACAAGCCACCTGGACCCCTCGGGCCCTCACTTCTCTACAACCTAACGGAGGACAAGGACAAGGTGCACCTCCATTCTTTCTCCCTTTCGATCTCCCTCAACCCACCTCTCTCTCCCAGCCCTGAGTCCAGCAGGAGCTTCATCCCATAGGCCATCAGTCCCAGGGGCTGAGCGAGTTTGCTGAATGGATGGTGGTCACAGCAGCACAGTGGCTGAGCCACATCTAGTGCAGGCCCCGCCTGTCTGACTCACCGCTCTATCAGCAGCACACAGTAGGTGCTCAACAAATGTGTGCTGACTGAGGTGAGTGGATAGATGGTCCCAAAAGACGGTTCTGCGAGCAGACACCATGCTGCAAGAGGAGGGGGCAACACAGGACCTGGAGGAGGCCAGCCCTACAATCCTGCCAAGTCAACTCCCAAGCCCAGAGGGGATTCCATGACCGGTGAGGACTCTCCCCAGCCCAGCATTCATGCAGATACGCAACATTCTCATCCGGTCTCAGCAAAGTCATGAATTCTGTCCAGGAGACCTGCTTTAACCCCCTCCTGGCCATATCACAGATCAAGGGTAGCTCAGGGCCCAATCCTGACCAACCTGCCCTGGGGCCACTTCTGCTCACCCCTGGGCTCGAGGCCCAGTGTCCAAGCAAAGGGCATGGTTTTTCCCCTCGGCACGTTATGCAGGTCCCAATGGGAGAAGCAGCCTCCCATTCCAGTGTATTTTCCAGAACCCACACCCTTATCTGTTATACACAGAAGCAGGCTGGAGTCCTGTCCATGAGGCATGGAGTTCACAGGCCCAGCAAGGTACAAGTCATAATTGCCACCCCCACAATTGCTTTTCAAAATGAAGAGGCAAAACACTGATGGGGACCTCTTCCTGTCTCGGCACATCTGCTGGCAGGCTAGCAGTGGCTGCCAGCCAGGCTGGGGCTCCCTGGCCTGGGGCTGAGGCCCTGCAGGGCTCAGCGGGTGAATGGGGCCAACAGGGACCAGGGGAGGACCAGAGGGAGCATCTGCTATCATAGAAGCAGGTTGTCAGCCTGGGAGGAGGGCCATGCCCATGTCGGAGCAGGCCAGCAAGGGAGTGTTTCCTGAGCAAACTTGATGATTCAACACAGCTGCTTGTTGTCGGCATCTCCATGTGCCTGTGGCCTGGGAGACCCGAGCCGTCCACAGAGCCATTCTCCAGAGGAGCCCCCTCTCTCTGCCTGACCCACACGGGCAAGTCCTGCTGCCACTTACTGGAGAGTATGTCAGTCTACCTCAGTTTCCCCACCTGGAAATGGGTACCATAACTTCACCCACCTCTTTAGGTCTTTAGGGGATTGAATAAGACAAGCCACATGAAAGTGAACACACAGGGCTTGGCACACAGTATGGGTTCACTGTCGGTGGTTACTACTGCCAAAGTTTATAATGCTGAAAGCTAGACCACTGCCACACACTGGCCACCTGAGCCTTCTAGCACCCACCTGCCTTCCAAGGGGGGACCCCAGGCAGCCCTTGCCATACAGTCAGGATTTCCAGGGGCTGAGGCCAATACTCCAGCAGCTCTGTGCAAGGGCAATGTGCCCGCACTCGGGCCATGTGTCCACGTTATCCCACAGAGAACCCCAGATGTCACCTGCCTTCCCTGTGGCACAGGCTGGGCCTCTCTGACCCTTCTGAGCCTGCCCTGCATTTCTGGTTAACACCAGGGAGTCACCCTTCCTCACCTGCACCTCTTACCCATCACTGAGTCCTCTCTACCATATGGTGAAGGTACCCACTTCTCTCCCTCCCCCACCTCTCAGTTGCCCAAGTTACCCTCATCTTCCACCTGCAACACTCTGGTCTTCCTGTCTCTGCTCTGGTCCTATACCAACCCATGCTCCACACGGCATTCAGGAGTCTTTCCACGTGCCTCATGTGAAGACAAAAGTCGACACACCTCCCTAGGGTGCATCTCACAGCCCAGTAAGCCTTACCTTCTTAGTCTGACATTCAAGTATCTCCCTGATTTAGCACTGAGTTCCTTTCTTTCTAGCCCCCTTTGAGGACCCTAGGTTCTAACTGTCTTTCTCCCCCTAGTCCCTCTCAGCCAGAAACTAAACTCCCGATTCTTCACTGTGTCTCCAGCCCTGCACAGGACCCAGAATTTGGAAGCTGCTCAGAAGGTGTCTGTGGCATGGACAGGAATCCCGCACAATGACCTTGAGCTTCCCACCAGGACTCCTAGACAGCACCCCAGTTGTGGCCCCAAGCTCCCACACCAACTCCATGGCCATGGCCCCAGACTGCACAGCAAATACTCACTTTGGCTCCAGGGGGGCCTGGGAGGCCTGGATTTCCATAAGGCCCAGGAGGACCCTGAAAGGGAAAAGAAGCAAACAAGTGAGAGAAAATAGGGACCATCCCACTTCCTGCAGCAATGCCAGCCCCTTCCACCGTCCTCGTGCTGTTGATTCACATTGTCTCCCCAGGCCAAACCCTCATGATATTGTCATGGCGGCCTGCCCTAGGGAGGCCCCTTGATGCCAGGCCCCGTGCTAAGCACTCTCCATGCATTTTCTCATTCCATCCTGACCATCACTTACAAGGAAGGAGCTATTATTTTGAAGATGAGGAAGTCCATGATTACAGAGGTTTGTCAGCTGTCTCAGGTCACCCAAACCTAACCCACTGCAACTGAGCCGATTGCAACTCATAGCAACCCTACAGGACAGAGTAAAACTTCCCCATAGGATTTCCAAGGCTGTAAACCTCTACAGAAGCAGACTGCCTCCAGAACTCTGGTGGTGTAGTGGTTAAAGCATTAGGCTGCTAACCAAAAGGTCAGCAGTTGGAACCCACCAGCTGCTTGCCTGGGAGAAGCATGAGAGAGTCTGCTTCCATAAAGGTTTATAGCCTTGGAAACTCTATGGGGCAGTTCCACTCTGTCCTAAAGGGTCACTATGAGTTGGAATTGAGTAGATGGGAGTGGGGGTTTTTTGGGTTCAGGTGATCCAGCTGCTAAGGCGTAGAGTACACCTTAGATATGTCAGATATGCCTGACTGTAGAGTGCAAGTCCTGGAGTTTCACCACCTGTTCACACTCACTCAGTCTGGCCCCTTTAACCCTTCCCAGACTTGTTTCCTCAGTCTCAAACCACACTTAGCTACATGATCCTCTCCAACACACCTGGTACTTTCTCCCCTTATCACCTTTGCCCACGCCATTCCCAACATCTGGAATGCCTTTCCCATTCTTCAAGGCATGGCAAAAATGCTACCTCCTCCAGGAAGCCTTTTTGGATTTCTCCTGCCTAGAGCAGCCTCTCCACCTCTTAGACTCCAATTAAATCATATGAGTTCCTGCAGTTGAGAACTCAATAAAGGGTGCACTTGACCTCTTCTGAACAAAGGCTCATCCCCTCCTGTTGCTATAACATCTAGTAGGAGCTCTCCTTCAGACTCCTACAACCTCCAAGTTTGCAGAGGCCTCAAGAGACCATGGAGCAGCTGGGAAGACTGGGCTGAGAGAGTTAAAGAATCTTGGCCAAGGTCACACGGCAGAGCAGTGGCCAAGCAAGGGTGGGGCCAAGGCCTGTTGGCTTGAAGTCTAAAGCTAATTGAGGGCACCGAATTTTCCCAGGCCATATCTGAATCCCCCTACCACAGCTGGGTCCTGTTACATCCACTTTCTCCAGTAAGGGCCCTAGGCTATGAGCTTCCAGCCTGGTAGTATCACTGAGTTGGAATCGACTGGATGGCAGTGGGTTTGTCTTGGTTTTAAGAATTGAATAACAGCCGAGGGTCTTTGTCCAGCAGACAAATGACTTAGGAATAATTTGGGGTGTTGGGGGTAGAGGGAGGCACTTCTCTACCAGCACACCAGCTTCTGACACTCTGTGCTCATCACTGGCTCCTCGCAACTCATCTAGCCAGCTGTGTATGAATTTGCTTCCTTCCGCCTGCTCCAAGGCCAACTTCCCAGCTGCAGCCTGTCACATTCCGACCCAGGCAACTCCCTTTTCCTCGATGCCTGAACTGGGACCCTCCCCGTCTCCAAACGTGTTGAGAAGGAACAGTGTTTAGAGTGTACTCAGCCTGGGAAATTCATACCAGTGTCACATGTGACTGTCTCTCTAAGACCATGGGTTGCTCTGCCTCCACCCAGCATCCGACCAACACTGTGTCCTGGGGCACAGCTATGACATGCAAGTGTTCAAACTTCCTCCCAGTTCTCATCCTCGCCCCACCCCTCAGGCCTCAGTGTCTCCACCTGGCCTAGGGGAACCCCATCAGACTCAGACCCAGCAATCTCTAAGGAGTCTGGGAGACCTCGGCCGCTCACCTCAGGCGGGATCCTGGGGTCTCACCTCAGAGTCTGGCCTGAATTGAGGAAAGGTTGGGCAGGGGTATTTGAGGAGGAGTCCCTGACACCCAGCTCCCCCAGAACCAGCCACAGGCTGCATGAGGGTCAAGAGCAGCCATGTCTTTCCAATTGTGCCCCCAGCTACCCCACAGATGTTGAGCCAGAGTACTGCAGCTTGGTTAGATGAGGGCTTCTTGTTTCCCAGCCCCCACCTCCTCACCCCTCGGTAGCCACTGCCTTGCAGAGCAACGAGGCACATAGTTGACAGGGAGCCAAACAAACCGATTCTATAAATGCTGCAGCCCAGAAAGTCGGGGTTGGAAAGGGCTCAGGGATTCCTCAACGCCCCTCCATGGGCCGGAGGAGTATGTGGAGTTGGGAAGGTGCCTGCCAGGGCTCTGGGTGACCTCAGGTAAGGCTCTGTCTCCTCCCGAGTCCCACAGTCCCCATCAGGGCAGAGGGGAGCTGGGACTGTTTAATCCTGGTATTCTATTATCTTTGGAATTCCATGATCTATGGAATTTCCAGTCTAGGAACAGGATGACGGGAGAGGGGGGTATAGGCAGAGAGCCCAAAAAGCATGTCAGGAGAGTCATTCACTTACTTGTGGAATTTCAGAGCTGGGAGGAACCATTCAAATGCCTTACCATAATCCCCAGTTTTAAAGGGGAAATTGAGGCCCAGAGAGGGGAAGGGACTTGCCTAAGATCACACAGCTTTTTGGTGGAAATGTTCTTGACTCCCAGACTAGAAATCTTTACAACCATGCTCCCAGCACCTATCACATGAGGGTGTTCTGGTAGGTATCATGCAAGAGAAGAGTGAGGAAGGCCTGGAGGGGCTTGGTTGAGTAAACAGAAAAATTAACACACTAGATGGTTGAGGGGAGCTCTGGTGGCATAGTGCCTAAGCATTTGACTACTAACCACAAGGCTGGTGATTCAAACCCACCTGCCACTCTTCAGAAGGAAGGCTGGCAATCTGCTTCCATAGTGATACCACCTCGGAAACCCAAGGAGGGATCTCTATGAGTCGGATCTGACTCCATGGCAGTAGATTTGGTTTTTTGGTTTGGTAGATGGTTGAGATTGTAGGCTCTGGAGTCAGTCTGTCTGGATTCAATCCTATGACCTTAGGCAAAGTAGCTTAACCTTTCTGAGCCTAGGTGTCCTCATCTCTAAAATGGGGATGACGTTGAAACCTATTTCTCAGGATGGCTGGGAAGACTGAGTGATATCACACATGTGTAGCTCAGCCAAGAGACTTCAGTGGTCAGTCTTAGTACAGAGAGTGATCTGTGCCATCCAGAGGGACAGAGAGACAGCTTCAAGGAGCTCCAAGAAGGGAGTGACCATCAGAAGAGGTGGTGGTATTTTATCTGAGCCATGATTGAAGGATAGTTTTGCAGAGGAGGGCATGCCAGGTCGAGAAGGCATCCCAAGTGAAAGTGCAGAGGCTGGAGGGCACAGAAGAGTTTGAGGACAGGGGCAGACACAGGGGGGCTGGGATGCTAGGTCTAAGGGCCTCATCTTGGTCCCAGGTCACAAGGTCCCAGAGCTGGCATGTCTGTGATACCTAAGTGGCCCCTAGCTCTGGACATGTGTTCCATGGAAGCTCTGAAGCCAGGAGGAAATACCACTAGGCAGCAGACTCCAGAGCCCTGGGCCCAGGGAGTGCCGGGCCAGGGCTGGAGGGAACTATGGCTTGAGTAATTGCATAACCAGAACCATCCACTGGGTCCAGAGCTAAAAATATGCCCAAGGCAGCTATCTCTGCCAGGGCCTCACCAGGCACCCTGTGTGGGAAAGGCTGATTCCGGCTAGGCACAGATGCCAGGCACTATGGGTCCGAGCCCTCCTGGGAAAGGGGCCGATTTCCCCCCAAGGGGACCTTCACAGGTCCCAGCTCTGGTTAAGAGCCTTTGTTTGAGTCCTACCTTTGCCATTTCCTGGATGCTTCATTTCCTCATTCCTAAAATGAGGATAATCAGCTTGGTCCATGAGGGTTCTGGCATGTGCCAAGCATAACACAGAGGGGCTACGTCCATCACCAATTTTGCCTCACTGCCCACTCGGCGGTTCAGCCTAGCTCACATCAGCCCTTGCAGCCCTGCCAAGCAATCCTCCAGCCTCTGGTTGAATCTGCCAACATGGAAAGCTCAGCCTTCCCTGACATGGCCCATCCCATTGCCCAGGTCAGCATTCCTACCCTAGGATGGTGCTGCAGAGATGGGAAGATGTCTGCAAGGGCCATGTGCTCCCCAAACAGCATCTGTCCTGGACAAACGCTGCCATCCATCACCTCAGAGGATATGGTCTTCAGGAGGGCCTCACCCACCCCAGGCTGCAAAAGTCACCACTTACAAAGGACAGCTGAGACCTTGGAGAAGGTCATCACTGTCCCATGCCATGTCCGTCCTCCTTCTAAGAGCACTAAGTTCACCCCATTGAACAAAGTGGAAACTCAAGGCCAGAGACGGACAGGGAATAGCCTGTGGACACACAGCAAGACTGGGATTTCAGGGGAACTGGAATGCAGGTCCAGGAACCAACTAGAGCCCCAAAGGACAGTGTGTGACCACTTACCCGAGGCCCTCGTGCACCAGAGGGTCCAGGTAGCCCAGGCAGCCCAGGGGGACCCTAAAGAGAAAGTAAAAAGCTTGCATCAGACAAACGGCAGCAGAGAATGAGTTCAAACAGTCATTCAACAAATAAATCCAGATCTCTGGGTATGCAAACCCCATGGTTGGGAAATGGGGTCCCATGAAGAATTCATACTCTTTGAGGTTTTCAGACTTTTGCACCAGCTGTTTCTTAGTTTTCAAAGCCCTCATCTTTTTTTACCCACTAACAGGATGTCAACTCCTCCAGGAAGCCTTCCCTGACCCCTTCCTCAAATTGTCCCAAGTTCTCTCTTTCCCTCTACTTTAAAGACCACTATATTATTTGTCTGCTTATAAGCCCATCAGTCCCACCAGACCATGGTCTCTGCAAAGGTACCAACTGAATATGAGTTATCTCAATCCCCAGGGCTCAGCCAAATGTTAAATAAAATAAAATAGGAAGAGACCTTAGAGTTCAGCCAAGTTCTCTACAGAGCCAGAGCAGAGAAGGGACTTGTCCAAGGTCACATTAAGCATCTTTGCATCATGGAAAGACAGTGTAACATACAGGTTATATGCACAGGCTTTTGAATCTGAGAGGCCTAGGTTCAATTCCCAATGCTGCCACTTACCAGATAGACTTGGGCAAGTTCCTTAACCAGCCTGTGCCTGTAAAATGAAGTTGTAATAGCCCCTTCCTAGGATCATCATGGGAGAGCTCTGGTGGCATAGTGCCTAAGGCATTTGACTGCTAACCAGAAGGCTGTCAGTTCAAACCCACCAGCTACTCCCCAGAAGGAAGATCGGGCAATCTACTTCCATACAGATACCACCTCAGAAAACCCACGAGGGGTCACTACGATCATTATGAAGCTCTGGTGGTATAGTGGTTAAGGCATTTGGCTGCTAACCAAAAGGACAGCAGTTCAAATCCAGCAGCTACTCCATGGAAAAAAGATGAGGTCACCGGCTTCTGTAAAGATCTGCAATCTTGGAAACCCAATGGGGGTCACTATGAGTTGGAACCAACTCGAAGGCAGTGAGTTTGGTTTCAGGATCATCATGAGGAAACCAGAGAAGGTAGAAAGGGTTTAACACTGTGCCTGGTCTGATTGGCACTCAAATGTTCCATCTGATCCACCAGCCTTCATCACCACTTCCCTAACTCCCATAGCAGTCCCTCATTGTCTGCCAGCCCCTCTCCCTGTCCTCCTCTCCAGCCCTCCACACCGCCTCATTCACCTTCCCAAGGCACTCCCCTACTCAACAACATTTAGACGCTCCCTATTTCTTAGAAAAGAAAGGCACCAAGATAGAGCGTGTCTGGCCCCAACTCCCTTCCCCTAATCTCTGGCCCCACCTCTCTGAAGGGAGGCAGCCAAACAGACTTACTAAACTGTAGACTGGCCTGTGTCCAAACCCTGCTTTCTCCACTTAATAGCTAGGAGCTTTGTGCAAGTCCTGCAGCCTGCCTCAGCTGCTCCCCTGCAGATGGGCCCAATACCTACTGCACCATCTACCTGGAAGAAGTAAACGAGGGTTCACAAAATGCCTGGATGTGAAGCACTCAGCACGGAGCCTTTGGAGGGAGCCAGGCTTTCGAGGATGTGTGAGGCCTGGGGAATTCATTTGTTTCAAATGACCATCAATGAGATTCCAGGTTTCCTGCCCAGAGTTAAAATCAGTGTTGAAAACCCAGTACGGTTTGGCTGGTAATTAATCCAGATCTCACACTGGGCAGCCTCCGCCCACAGCCCTGGCCTGTGAACGCCACGTGCTTGCTTGTCCATGAATAAAAATCAGAGGAGAGATCCAGACAGGCAGATATGGGCACTGAGGCCCCAGGGCCAGTGGGAAAGAGCTCCAGGTGGAGGGAGGGAGCCACAGCCTCAGGCCTGTGTGGCCACCACATCCAGTCTCTAGTCCCTACATCCAGTCCCGTGGGTTTGGAATTCAGGGCCAGTGTACTCCCAGCTTCTGCAGCTGACTTTGGCGGGGAGATGTCAAGCACAAATCTAAGACTGGGCCCAGAGTGCATACTCCACTTGCTAGCTGTGTGCCTCTGGGCAAGTGCCTTTAGTCTCTGAGCCTCCAGCTCTTTTAACTGTAAAATGAGGATAATATGGGCACATAGCCAACAGATAATCTATAAAAAGTGCTTGGCACATAATTAACGGTCAAAAGACGTCAGCTATTGTTTCTGTTAGGAGAGCTCCTGGAACCTTCCTTACTTAAAATTTTAAGCCATCCCTGTTCCTGTCTGTTTTGGGGGAAGAGCAAAAGATGCGCCCTCCCAGAACACTCTCATTGACCCAATTCTCACATGTGACCCAGAATTGAAGGGAAATATAGGGGACCAAGGCTAAGCATCAGGGCAGTGGGGATTCAGCAGAAGAATTCTTGCTTTCCACGTGGGAGATCCAGGTTCAATTCCCGGACAACGCACTTCCTGTGCGGCTACCTCTCATGCGTCCGTGGAGGCATGGAGGACTGCGTGCTGCTATGATGCTGAACGGGCTTCACGGGAGCTTCTCGACTAAGAGAGACTGGGAAGGAAGGTCTGTTTCCAAAAATCAGCCAATGAAAACCTTATGGTACACAACTGCCCACGGGGACGATGCACAACCGGGCAGGCTCTCATCCCACTGTGCCTGGGGTCACCATGAGCGGCAGTCCAACTCAGCAGCAGCTAACAACGAAGGCTGAGCTTCACTGTAGTATTGTTATCATTACTGAGTTCTTTCAACAGATGAGAAACCACAGGGAGGCTCAGAGAGGTAAAATGACTTGCCCAAGGACACACAGCGAACAGCAGGCTGAGTCTGGATTCAGCCAGGACCACCTCACTTTTTCCCTTACAAAGTGCAGCTTTCATAGTTCCAAACAACCTTGGTTAGGTGTGTCTGGAACTGGATGTGACCTTGGGTAAGTCTCGTCCCATGTAGTCATCTTTGAAATGAACAACACTGGCACCTTCCCACCACTGGCATTTCCTGAGTAGCAGGGCAGGAGGTGACTTCCTCCTCTTGGGTACCAGGTGGACAGGAAAGGTGACGTCATTTCCATCTCTCAGTGGAGAGGCCAGGCCAGAGGGGTGAAGGGCTTCTCCAGGATGCCTGGGGAGGGGGAGGCTCAGTGGGTATAGCTCCTTCATGGAGGCCACAGCAGGAGAGGCCTGGACACTCCCTCTTGGCACTCCTTTTGCCCCAGAAACGGGGGCGTCCAGGCTGCAGTCTGACCTCATCCACAACATCTGCATCAGACTCTGGTGCCAGCTGGGATCCACGGTATGGCCTGGTGACGGCAGCCCATGGCCTGACTCCTTGACATGGCAGTCCAGCCCCCATCGCAGCTGGCCAATCCTGACCATGCCACTAACCTGGGCTGGGCCTGCCCACCGCCCAGCTCCAGCCCCAGACCTGACCCTTCCCCACTCCTCCCTACTCAGTGCTCACTTTGTTGGCAGCTGAGCAAGGGCAAGCACCCCATGCCCCCTCCCTTGATGCGAGACCCTGCCTGTTTTTCTCAGTGGAAAAACGCTGCCATTCCTTTCCAGGGCCTGCAGCCTGAGCTGTGACTCTGGGATGATTCACGAGGCCGGGGTGGGATTTTCCACTCCACGCTGCAAACAACGGGGCCTCTGAGAGGGCCCAGAGCTGAGGGGGCGGGCTGTAATCCTGTCTAGAGGAGGGGGAGTAGGCCAGGGCTCATGGAAACAGCCAAGAAGCCCCTCTGGGCTTCCCCTAAGGATCCCAGCCTTGGACAGCCAGACCCGGGGGGAACCCCATCGCACAGAACAAGTCCGCCCTTGTGCCCAGCTGCAACAGCCTGTTGCCAAGCTTTGCACAGAGAAATAAGTCCCGGCTGGCATGTCCCCTGGCAGTGAGCAAGGGGAGATTTCACAGGCCTGGGATCTGGGAGACCAGAGGCCAGTCCTGGGTGTGCTGCTAACTGCTGTGGGACCCTGAGCAATGGCCTTTTGCTCTCTGGACCTTTGCTCCCTGCCTGTAGCCTGGGATCTCAAAGGGCCTCTCATTTCTGACCATCTGAATCTATGATTATTCCTAAAAATAGCCCATGGTGGGGGTGGAGGGGGCAAAGGACGGGAAGCTGAGCCTCTCCTAGTTTCTGTCCTAAGGAAGGACCTGCTGGGACAGCGCCTCTCTGGGTGTGGACTTCGCTCCGTGTGGCCTTGCATGAGTCACTGCATCACTCTGAACCTCTGGGTTCCTCAGCTTCTGCAGCTGTAAAATGGGCTTGTAACTAACACCCATCTTCTGAGCTAAGGTGTGTGTGCCTGTTATTCTCCTTCTGTTCCCCAAATCCATTCTCTGAGAATGCCTCTGAGACTGTGCCCTGGGACCCCTTGCCCTCTGGCTTCTGTCTGGGCGTGGCCCATGGCAGGCACCTGGCTACAGTCTGGAGGATAGAAAGGGAGAGAGGTACCGGTATTTCTCCCCTGGTCCCTCACTGCCACTTTGACAGCGGCTGTGCTCTTTTATGCCCGCAGTGCACCTCGGGAGACCCGCTCCTCCAGGGTTTTAACTCTCACTGGGTTCTAGTAACACCTCCCCCTCCTCTTGGGACTTCAGGTCTGAGTGTAATAACGGTTTCCTGCTGTTGCTAGATCCCCATGTGTTACTGGCTCTTGTTGGTAACTTTGATGCCGACCCTCAAAAAACCTGTTGCCGTCAAGTCATTTCCGACTTCAGGCGACCTCCTGTGTTGCACAGCAGAACTGCTGCATAGAGTTGTCTTGGCTGTAATCTTTATGAAGGCAGGTCACCAGGACTTCCTTCCACAGCACCACCAGGTGGGTCCGAACCGCCAACCTTGAGGTTAGTACCCAAGCACAAGCCATTTGTGACACCCAAGAGCCTCGATGCTGCCTGCACGTCTACAAACGTCCCTTCCTTAAACTCTCCTCCATTGCCATGTTCCCTGCCCAGAGCACTACTTAGCACAGGAGGTGCTGGCACACAGTAGGTGTTGGCACACAGTAGGTGTTCAAAAATGATCTGCTAAAGACAAATTCACCCGTGTAAGCGGTGAATTTATCAAAATCTAGTCCTAATTTGTAACTGCCAAAAGTATGTGGCCCTGAGGACACTAAGGAACACCTTTCTAGCTATATCCTGGGATAGGGCTGTTGGGGGGTAACAGGCAAATGAAAACACATCCCAGAGCCGAGAGAGAAACCACGGCTACAGAGGAGCAGAAGGGGAAAAGGCAGAGGAAGTTCTGCCTCACAGTCCCTCCTACACAGCTGACATTTGTGACAGTGCTCTGAGCTCCCAGGCTTCCTGCTGTCCTGGCTTCACCAACTAGTCCCAGGTCAGGTTGTGTTCAACCCCTCCTGGTTCTCTTAACCCAACACGGTTCCTGCCTCAATATCCACCAAGAGCGTGCAGTCACAGTCAGGAAGACCCACCAGGACCCAGGTTCAGTGCCTTACACCCCTCATCTCGCTGAATCCACCCAACAACCCTGTGGGAAGGTAGGTACCACATTGCCATTTTACAGGAACAGCCTCAAAGAGGTTAGGTGACTGGCCCAAGGTCCCACTGCACCGGGCCCTGAGAAAGCACTCAGTTAACATCAGTCGAATGAATGGATGGATGGATGGATAAGAGATTGTTCAGCCCCAGGTTGCTCCAACTCCCAAGGCTGTGTGCTTTTCCACTCTGTGGCCTCCTTATGCCACTGGCAGGAGAGTTCTGTGTAACCTCAAGGAGCCTGGCCCGGGAGTCAGGACAAGTTGGTTTTTGTAAGGATCAAATTCCTTCATTCATTTCCCAGATAGTCACAGCGCATCTGCTGTGGACCAGGCCCAGAGCTGGGTCTCCCTGAAGTGACTCTTACAGCAAGCGCAGGCAAATGCCAGCGGCCTGACCATGAATAAATAAGGCCTTGACTCGCCTCCTCCCAGGCGTGGGGCTTCCGTGCGGCTTCTGTGCAGTCTCTGTGAGCAGCAGCCTCCCCGCCCCAGCACACCCGGGGCCAAGCTCAGCTTTTCCATGTTCCCCACCCCCACCCCGTGCCTGGGGCTCCAACAGCCTTCTCATTCAGTGGCTACAAAGCTGGCTGGCCTTGGCCCGAAACTACGTCCCAGCTCTCCTGGCCCCTCAAGAACCACACATAGCAGGTACAGAGCAGATGGGCCACTCATCCCTCCTGGGCATAGAAAGATCCCCCATGGTCATTCCTAAGGAGGAAACTCTTCCAGTCCCCATTAACAGACCCAGAGACTGAGCCCCTTGGAGAGAAAAGGACTTCTCCAAGTCACTCAGCAAAACTAGACACCCAAGAGATGACCGAATTGTTTATTCTCTCCTGCACTTCCCATTTTTGTCCTCTGGACCTGGGAAATGGGAGTGATTGCTATCTTACAGTCTACAGAAACTGAGGATCAGAGGGAATCCGGGGCACAGAGCTCATAAGCGGTGGAGTCGGGATTTGAGCCAGGTCCACATGTCCCCAGGCCCTGTGCCCCAGACGGCACACCTTCTGCTCTACTGGCTTTAAATGCTGAACGAATGGGTGGCCCTGGACAAGAGAGGACAGAAAGTACGTGTGTTGCACTTCACTGCTGCTCAGAGATGCCACCTCAGTTATACTATTTCTGGTATCTGGAGGAAATACATGACGCGGTTGCCACACAGTGGATTGGACAAAGTTTCTAGAAGCTTCTTGGTTCCTATTGGTGTAAGGCTAGGATCCAAGCTGTGGAGAGGGTGGAGAGATGAGATGACGTAGGGCAAGAGGCCAGGATGCCACCCTGGCAGGTCAGGGGCTGGAGAAGCAGGAAGAGCCTGGAGACCCAGAGCTGCCCCCCAGCTGCTATATATGGACATGCTGGGTGGGTATTGTTAGGCACCTAATTATGTCTTTCCAACCTTGTTCTCATCTGTACAGTGGGATTTCACACACACCTTGCCCTCCTCAACCAGTTCTAGGGAAGTCCTAGAGAGACCTGCCACACATATGGAAGTTCATAAACTTGATGGGTTGTCAGAACAGAAGATTATTTAGACTCTGAGCCCCTCCTTTGAGGTCAGGGACAAGGCCTGGCTCATCTTTGTAACCTTCCCTGGCCCTCAGAGAGGGGGATGGATTGTACTAGTCTTGGGGTCCAGAGCTGGGGAACTAGTCACAGCTCTGCCATCTACATGCTGTGTGGCCTTGGGCAAGTCCTGGCCCTCTCTGGACACAGTCTCCAATCTCCCCACCTGCTCAATGAGGGGAGCTGAACGGAATGACCCCTGAGGACCAGTGGCATGGACAGAAAGAGTCTCCTGGTGACGGGGGAAATTCAAGGAGGTGATCTGGCAGAAGGTCTCCCTTTATCCTGACCCAGAGTATCAAGTCAGGGAGAAAGTATGAGGCTCAGGCACAGAAAGGCAGATTCTACACCCTAAAACACCACTCCTGTTCCCAGTGTGCTCGCCTGGACAGACTTCTCTCTTTCACACCACACTCAGCCTTGGAAGGCCAGCGCCTCCCCTCTGCCAGGTTGTGCCTTGGGGCTGGGGTCAAGACCCTGAACCTTAACCACCCTCTGTTGGGACAATTCACCCTTCTTCGACCTCACAGGCCAATGAGGCCAGTGTATGCACAGCTGGGGGAACTGAGCTGTCAGGGGCCAAAGTTGGGGGTGCTGAGCTGGGGCTGGGAGGCAGCCTGAGGGGTGAAAAGGTTTCCTGGTTCTCTGCTCAGAAAAGTGGCCATTCCCAGCTCTCTTCTCTGCCAATTTCAGAACACAGGACTCAAGTGAACATTGACATAATAGCAAAGCAATGCACACAATTTCCACAATTTCCATAAGTTGTACAATATGGTTACAATAAAAGTGGACTCTCATTCCCCTTGGAGACAGGCTGAGTAAATATTATTCCTAATGATTATTAAAACTAATTAAGTGCATTTGGAAGCCCTGGGAATTCCCAGCACCAGCCACTGTCTTCACTTTGCAGGGAGCCCTCACCCCCACTGAGGCTGGTGGCACACCTGGGCCCCCAGGAAGGAGAACAGAAGATGGTCGTGCAGTGGTCACCTCCAGGCAGGAGGAGAACAGAGTAGGGCCAGCTTTCTGGGAACTCCGTCCCACTATTCCCCACCCGGAGGAATTGGCCTCCAGCTGTGGAAAGGCCGTTGCCCCTGGAGACCGTCCCAGGCAGGCCAGCAGCATTGCCCCTGAGACCCTCTCCTGCACGTGGAATGTTCTTGCTTTCTGTCTTTCTTGACCACGTCAGCTTACTCTGACCTTCCTCTGTCCCAAACTCCTGGACCAGGGCGAAACATCAAATGTGTACAGGCACCAGGCAGGTAACATGAATGAGTGGGACAGATGGGTTGGAAAACACACAGGAGTGAGTCCAGAGCTAACAGAGTGTGTGTTTAAAGGGGCAGCTGGGTTTGGCCACAACCTGTGGTCACTGCATGGCCTCTTTAGAAGAAAAGCTGGTCTTGTGTAAGAAAGCGCTTACATTTTTTAAATGTTAGTAACTGATTAATTTTAAAAAAAGAAAAAAGAATGCTACGTGTGCCAAACCAAACATATCCAAGGCTACCCATGTGCAACCTTTGTCCAGAACTCCCAGACAAGCTGATGGGACAGAAGAGGCTCTGCTCCCCAAGGCTGAAGAGCTGGGCTTTGAAGGGTGCCGGGCTGCTCACTCACAGTGTGGCCAGGGCAAGTCAGGTAACCGCTTTCATTAAGCCACTTGACCTTGCAGTTACATTATCCCAAGGGTGCTCTTCACCCGGTGATAGCCACCAGACTTGCATCCACCCCAGAGGATCACAAATCAGGAGCAAAGTGTGCAATAGTGGAGAGAGTGGAGGCAGAGGAGTCAGGAAACCCAGGACCGAGCTCCGAGCTCCCTGCTCCCAGCCGCTCTCCCCTGCCCCCTCCAGGAGCACTCGGGAAGCCCACTCCAGTCACCTGCATAAGCTACAAGCAGCATGCAAACCCCACCCCGTCTTACCGGCAAACCACAGTCTCCCTTGGGCCCTGGTGACCCCATCAGCAGGGAGAAAGGCGTGGGCCCCATCAGGTGGAAGAACAAGTAGTCACGACTCGTGGGCCGAGGACTGGAAGATAGGAACCGTGCCGGGGCCAGTGCCGGGGCAAGGGTGGTCTGCTGACTGGGCCGTCTGGGGCCGGGCCGGGTGGTCGGATTTTTCAGCGGGGCATCCCTGGCTGCCTTCCCAGATCTGAGACGCACAGGCTCCCGGGGGCTGCTCTTAGGTCCAGCTTTCTTTGCAGCTTTGGATCCAGCGGGTTTCTTGCTTCTTGTGGGGGTTGGAGCTGCTGTGAGGGCAGGAAGTGCCATTCTGGGAGCTCTGGTGCCTGAGATTGGAAGCACCGCTGTGGCTGGTGGCCAAGGGGTCCTGGTAGAGCCAGGACTAGGGGCAGGAGACAGGGGCAAAACAGTGGGGTGGGGTCCTTTGTGTGTTCTGGTGCGGGCAGGGGCAGGCTTACTGGCTTGACTGCTCATCTTGGCCTTGGTCTGAGCAACTAGGGCAGAGAGTTTTTTGGAGGAGACAACAGCAGGAGAGAGGGGCCGGGAGCTGAGAGGCAGAGGTCTGGGCACTCCCGGGTTCCTCTGGGTCAGCCTCACTGTGGGACGGAAGACTTTGGCAGGAACTGGGCGGGAAGTAGGCGGCACTGGCTTCTGGGTGGATGGGGTTGATTTTGAGAAGGAAGGTGTTGGAGCTGCCTTCTGGGTGGGACGTGGACTTCTGACGGGGGCAACTGACAGAGAAGGAGTAGAAGGCTCAGTTGGGAGACTTTGGAGGATTTTGGAGTCTGTATTTTTCCATGATAGCTGGGCAGGTAGAGCTGTGGAGTGGGAAGTTCTGGTGGTGCCGGCCAGAGAAGCTGGGGGCACAGGAGGAAATGTTTGACTGGTCAATAGATTGGCAGATGGCACTGGGGTCCAGGCTGGGCCACCAGCTGCAACATGCTGGTGAGGGCCACTGGTGCTAGTCCTCAGGGCCTTGGTGGGCATGGCAGGAGCCACAGTCACCTTGGCCTCCTTGCTTGCTGGCTGTGACCCCAGAGCTGGGGCAGCAGAGGTAAGATTCTCTAGGCCCAGCAGTGGGAGGTCGGTCCGGAAGGGGAAGTGGGAGCCTGAGTCCCAGGGGAAGAGGGGTCCCAGCTGGGGCCGGTAAGCGTCAGCCTGCCCACACTGCTTTCTCAGATGTGTACAGTAATTGTGGGCAACCTGCGTCACAGGGTAAACACTGAACTGGCACAGGGCGCCTTCAAACTGGACCGCGTGTGGGCTCATCTTCCCAAAGAGAAAGGAGCCCGCAGGGTCCAGTGCCGGGTCTCTGTGGAAAGGCAGTGGGATAGGCACCCGGCGCTGCCCACAGTCCGTCACCAGGGTGACCGTGTGGTCACGGAGCTCGAGGGCCAGGTGGTGCCAGCGCCCATCATGCACGTCGAGGTCGAAGGCCACAGAGCGCCGGGGCCCCAGGTGGACGACCGTCTTGCCGGGAAGGAACTGCAGGCCCAGCTGCAGCTTGTGCTTCTGGCTGCGGACGGCGAAGAGGAAGGCATGGTTCACCCTATGGGAGCAGAGGCTCAGCACCAGTGCCAGCTCTGTGCCCAAGGCAGCAGGAATAACGGAGGCTGTAGGTGCCTGGAGCCGGGCCCGCTGCGTGAAGATGAACCCCGACTGGAACGGAATGACCCCCAAGGGAGCGGGGCTCCGCCCGCCTGCCACCTTCGCCCCGCCAAGGCCCAGCCGCCGGAGGACATCCACATCTGGAGAAGGAGAGAGGAGAAGGCAGAGGGCATGGTTAGGGCCTGTTCCAGGCCCAGACCCCCCCACCCAGATGTACAGTAAGGATAGCCCACCGACAGCTATCTGGTTACGTATTCATTCAACTATACATAATGCTGCACCATGGTGGTGGCTGAGAGTGCAGGGTTGGCGCCAGACGGCTTGGATGCCAGGGTCCCTCTCTGGTTGCATGATTTTGTATAACGTGATAAAAAAAAAAAAAAAAAAAAACGGACTCTGGAGCCAAACTTCCTCAGTTCAAATCCCAGCTCGCCACTTACTAACCCTCTGACTTTAATGCCTGTTTTATCATCTATTAAATGGAACAATAATAGTACCAACCTCAGAAGGCGGTGAAGATGAAATGAGTTAATACACTTTTTTACGAGTGTCTGGCACAAAATAAGTACTTTAAAATAAAAGCACCAGCTGTCTGTCACTTTGTCACACTGTGGTGGCTTGCATGCTGCCAGGATACTGGAAGCTATGCCACCGGCATTTCAAACCTCAGCAGGGTCACCCACGGTGGACAGGTTTCAGCGGAGCTTCCAGAGTAAGACACACTAGGAAGGCCTGGCAATCTACTTCCAAAAACACGTTGATGAAAAACCTACAGATAATAACAGAGTATTGTCCAACATATTGCTGAAAAATGGGCCCCCTGACTGGAAGGCGCTTCAACAGGCCACAACAGACTCGAGCATACCAGTGATCCTGAGGCTGGTGCGCGACTGGGCAACACTTCGTTCTGTTGTTCGAGGCATCGCCATGAGTCACGCTAACTCGATGGCACCTAACAATACCGAAAGGAATGACAACCACCAAGTGCTAGTGTTAGGAGTTTGAATCTCCTCAGCCTCGGATTGGTTTCCCTTCTCTCTTTCTCAAACACTGGCTCCTCCAGGAAGCTCCCATAAGTGAGGGACCCAGGTGACAGTTCTGGAAGTGTCACTGGAGCTTGGTTAGGATGCCCAGGTGCCTGACTGGTTTCACTCCCAGGAAGCCATGCAATCCGCTTGCCACCCGAGCTCTCTGTCAGGCAGGAGCAGGCTGGGGCAGCTGCTAGCTGCACAGCAGGAAAGTGACATTTCTCGGACTCCTCTCCCTGTGAGTCTTTGCAAGGGCAGGGGAAGCAGTCAAGCCATCCCCCTAACCTCTGTCCTCTGACATCTGACCGTCATCTGGCCAGGTCACATCCGCCCAGTCATTACATCACCGACACTTGTCAGAGCACAAAGGGGGCTTCCAAGGTGTTTATGGAACGGCTTTCTGACCTTGCCCCCACAGGGTCACTTGAGCCCCTTGAGTTCCCTGAGCTGCCACTGTCTGCAATAGCCAGCTCCTGAGCTCCATGCTCGTAGAGAGAGGCAGCTTCAGAACCAGCGTCTGGGTCAAGTTCTCAGGCTCCCTCCCCTGAATGCAGCACCTGAGCCCAGTGCTGAATGCCCCCTCCCTTATCACCTGGGGCAAGGTGTGCATCAGGGGAGAGGCACTTTGGGCTCAATGCAGCACCTGGTACTTAGTGGGCCCTCAGTCAACAACTGCAGAGGGATGGATAGATGGATGGATGGATGGACAGTTAGATGGGTTGGGGAGAACTGAGAACCTGGGTACCAGTTCCTCCTACAGCAAGCTCTAGAGTCAGCTTTAGAGCTCAACAGACCACCTGTGAGCCTCCAGACTCAGTATCTTCTGCTGTGAAATGGGGCTAAGCAGAGTGCTCACATCATAATTATTGGGAGGGCGAACCGTCATCTTCCTCATTATCTGCAGCCCAAGCCCTGCACCAAGTAACTGTGGGAGAGTTTCTTCCTGACCCCTGGGCCTCAGTCTGCAAGATAAAGGAGCTAAAGCAGACCGCGAGACGGCCACAAAGTGGTACAATGTTCCAAGAATTCTAAAGTTCCAGGTTGCAGTTTCAGGTGGGCTTGGAGTATGACACCTTTATTCTCCCCTCAGGATACAAGGACCTTTCATTCCCCTCAAAGTCCTCCTTCCCACCCTTTCTCCCTTCTCCTGTCAGTCTCCAGTTTTCAAGAATTTTCTTAGTAGTATTTCGTCTTCTATACTTTAATCACAGAACCTCTGTTATCATAAAATAGTATTCACTATCAACAACTTTAAAAGTGGAAGGAACCACTTGAATGGAGGAGGGATGAGGGCAGGAAGCCACCCCCTCCCCCATACACACCAGGCCTGCACATCCCGCCCCACACATTAGTTTATAGATGGCTTGCAGCTAGCTGCTTACCCAGGGAAATCTCAGCCGGCCAGGCCAGGCGTTAACAGTGAGGTTTCCCTTCATCATCCTATCCAGCCCCTCACCCCACTCCACAGACTGTCTGCAGCTAAGGAGCAAAACCCCGAATGCTGACATATGGAGAAGGCAGAGGTGGTGGCCAGTGCTGAGCTTCTGAGAACCTCTGACCACTTTGGCCCTACAGGGAATAGTCAAGGGCTATTCTTCCCCATGACTGCTAACCAGAAGGCTGGGGGTTCAAACCCACCAGCCACTCCTCGGAAGGAAGGTGAGGCAATCTACTTCCCTAGTGATACTGCCTTGGAAACCAAAGGAGGGGTCACTATGAGTCGGGTCCAACTCGACAGCACATAACAACAGCAACAACATTCTTCCTCAAGGTTTTAAGATTAAGAAAATATTTAACAATAATAATAAAAACCAGTATCAGAATCAACTCAATGGCAGGGGGTTGGACATTGAGTATCCACTGTGTCGAAACAGGTACCGTTTATTATCCTCATTTTAGAGATGAGGAAACTGAGGTTCAGAAAAGTTACAGATATAATAACTTGCCCAAGGTCACACAGCTCGTAAAAGGCATAGCTGGGACGTGAACCCAGCCAACTGGCTCCAGGGCCCTTGTTCTTAACTATTATGCTATACTGCTGGCTGTATCCTGAAGCCAGCTAGTTACAACGCAGGGCGGAGACACCTCCAGAACCTCCCCAGAGGCGAGGAGATAGAGGACAGGGGAGCGAATTCAGCCCCAATGCCAAGATGGAAGAACTCAGCCAGCTGGCCCCAGCAAGATCCCTTTATTACATAAACCTGGCTCCACACAGCTCCCGCCTCTCCCCAACCCCCCCGTGCCTGACTCAGGACTCTGGACAGCTGTTCACCTACTTTGTAGGGGAAACAGCAAGCTTGGAAAATATGACATTTGCACAAAACGTTGCCAGGCAGCAAGAGTCTTCCGGCACGGCCCTGCCCTCTCAGGGGCCCTGCCCTCTCAGGGGCCCAATCCCTGCCTATCAGCCAGGTCAGGCCACAGAGGCTCCAAGAGTGCCATGCAGCCTGCCCCTGTACATGGCCGGGCATGGGCAGCAAGGGGAAGGGTGGCTATTTTAAGAGGCATGTGGCTGCTTGGCAAACAAATGTGGCAGAGGAGGTTTTGATTTTTGTGGGCGGATATGTAGTCAGCCCATTGCTGCCCTGGCCCCCTGGACAGCTCCTCCAGGATGGGAGAAAGCAGGACGTCAGAGAGAGGAGGGTGGGTTCACAGGCTTGGTTACTACAGCTGTGGCCTCCGCAACCCCCTCAGCAGTCCTAGAGTCCCCATTTAATGGATGGGGACCACTGAGGCTTATCGAGCCAAAGTGACTTACTCGAATTCTGTCCCAGACAGAAGTTCAAGGATCTCCCTTCCACATTTCTGCACTGGGCCTTCCTACTGCTAAGAAAAGTTCAAATGCTAATCTGTCAAGTCCAAAGAGAATTTACCAGTAGAGTTTGCCCATTCTATTGAATAGAAAACTGAGGCATTCAATTCCACTTAGGGGCATGGATATCTCTGCTACCCCTGAGTTCTCAGACCCCTCTGTCCTCCCTTGCCTCCCCCCTGGACAAAGAGAAGAGAGTATTACCTTCAGGAGCTCCTTGGGTGGAGACCAGGTGACAGGCAAACGAGACTATGATCCAGGCGAAGAGATACCCCCTAGAGACCGGGAGACACACATATCAGCTTCCACCCCTTGGGCCCATATTCGGCCAGGAGTTGGAGGGTGGGAGCAGAAATGGCTGGTCCAGCCCCAGGCCCACCTCAGCTTCACCTTGGGAGGAGACGTACAGGGCTCTCAGATGCTAACGGAACAGCCCACATACCCAGGTCTCCAGGCTCAGCCTTTCAGGACAGGACCAGCTCACGCAGTACAAACACAACCTCGTTCCTCTCCAGCACTCACAACTCACTTTTACAGATCAGTAAGTCGCGTTCACAGAGCAGGAAGCAGTGGGGGGAGGAGACCCAGGGTCAGCTCAAAATCAGCTGACCCACTGGGCAGCAAGGGCAAGCCACTCTCCCTCTCTGGGCCCCAGGGTCCCCATCTGTACAATGGCCTTGTGATCTTGAGACCCTTCCAAGGCTCCAGACAACAGGCAGCAGAGCTAGGGCCAAAAGGTCAGTGGCAAGACCAGACCGGCCTGCTTGGATATTGATCAATATCCCAAAAGGGCAAGAGAGATGAGGACTCACATTGCAGACCCAAGGCAAAGAGGGGGAGAAGACCCCTTAACTGGGACCAAGACGGTGCTAGGGAAGCTACCCATCTGGCTTCTTCTGATGGAAAAGGAAAGGAAAGGAAACAGAGGCAATGGATGGGGAGTCAGGTGACACGGCTGCAAACCTGACCCTGCTATTTACCAGTTGTGTGGCCCTGGACAAGTCTCTCACCCTCACTGAGCCCGTCTCCTCCTCGGCAGCACAGGCTGATGCTTTCTGTCTTGCAGAACAGATCTGAGGATTAAATGAGCCCATGCGTGTCAAGGCTTGACCTGGCACCAGCCCCAGAAGTGCTGCGTAGACGGTCCCTGCTGGCCCTGCACTCTGGGGCCACAAAGGGTTAATGCTCTGCCCAGTGGCTCCTGCCAAGATGGGCAGGGGCAGTGATCCAATTTCACCTTCCAGTGGGAGCAGCCACCACGGACAGCCGAAGCCACCCAGGGCATCTGATCCCCAAGCGGGCAGGAGAGAGGGCGGCACGTGGCCAGAGTCGGCTGGGACACAGGCAGAGAGAACAGCATCAGACAGGCAGTAGGGGCTACTGCTGGCACAGACAGGCCCAGGCTCCTCTCCCAAGAGGGAAGCTAGGATGCTGGGAGGCAGGGTAAGGGGTGCTCCTGGGGAATCAGGTAATCCAGGAAATGCTAGAGGTGATGTCTTTCTGGGGTCCTGGATTCTTCCCAGGCTCACTGGGGGCCTTAAAGGACAAGCTCATATCCTCTATTGGCCTCTCCTACTTTCAAAGACAATAGCAATTGTGCTCAAGAATAATCCTGAGCTGGGCATCATGGAAGATACCAATGATTCCATAATCACAACCACCCCTGCTTCATGCTTGTTCAGGTGGGCAGAGACCCCAGAGGATTCTAGATGAATCTGGAGAAGTCTAAGCCAATTCTGGTATTTCCATTAGCCATGCCAGCAACTGGTTTCAGCATAGGTATGTGACCCACATCTGGCCAATGAGATGAAAGGGATCACCATCAAGGGCTCCTAGGAAAGGGTTTCAAAGGCACAGAGAGATTTCTCCCGGCCCCTGTATGCTGCTGAGTGAGGATGTGATACTTGAAGCTGCTGCAGCCATCTTGTGCACGTGACATGACGAGCCCCAGAACCACAGCAAACTTGCACAGGGTGACAGGATAGACTGGGTTTTTGACACTGTTGATATTCTGAATTAGCCAGCCCTGGTATGTTCTTCCTTGAGACCTCATGATATGAGGAATAATAATCCCCTTTTATTGCTTAAGCCACGTGGAGTTCAGTCTTCAGGGACCTGCAACATGAGGCAAACTCACTGAAATAGCACTCAGATGCTGGTGGTGGTCCCTCGAAAGCCTTCCCCAGTCCCTGGGTCTTTGGAGATACTGCTCCCATATCCAGACACTGCTCCTTGCCTCGTCAGTTCTCACACATCTGTTAGATCCTGGCTTGGATATCACCTCCCGCAGCCGACTGCACATACCCCATCACAGCAGGTGTGGCATGTGTGGTCACCATCTATTTTTCTTTCTAGACTGTGACTTTGAAGGACAGGGACCATGCCCATTTTGTCCACTCTTACATTCCCAGCCCCTGACAGGTTCAGTGTATTTTTGCTGAGTAGATGACTATTACCTGGTCTTACAAGACTCTGGACTTTAAAACGTGTCTCCATCAAGTCCTACTCTAGCAGGCCCTTCACACCCAACTTTTCCCAAGATAACTCCCTCCTCATCCTCTCCAATCTGCTGCCATCCTGTGTGAGTGCCGTTTTCACGGCCAGTCCCCCCTGCCTCTATGGAGTGCACCTCCAGCCCACCATCAGCAACAGCCAAAGGGCAGAGTACCTAGCTATCCTGGGGTTGCTAGAGAGAAGGGCAGAGGCTGCCCTCCTTGGCATGACCTGCCCACCTCTATATACCCGGGAGAGATGTAATAAGAAGCTTTGTTTAATTTGACAGACGGCAGAAATGGAGGCCCAGAGAGGGCACGTAATTCCTCAAGGTCAACCTGGTTCATAAAGTCTTCAGTACTATTTCCCACATCCACCATGTAGATAATCTAGGAAACTGTCGCCAGATGGGTTAGGGAAGAGCTGTCTCTTGCATCCCAGGCTTTGTGGTTCTCAGAGCACAAGTGCACACAAAGGTTCTGAGAAGTCCTGCAATAAAGAAATTGGCTGTACTTTCTGTCATTCAGGAGCTCTGGTGGTGTAGTGCCTAAGGCATTTGACTGCTAACCAGAAGGCTGGAGGTTCAAACCCACCAGTCGCTCCTTGGAAGGAAGACTGGGCAATCTACTTCCATAGTGATACCACCTCAGAAACCCAAGGAGTGGTCACTATGAGTCAGATCCAACTCGACGGCAGTACATTTTCTGTCATTCAGCATTCTCCAGACTTAGAGAGGAACAAGGAACTCACGTCTCAGAATGAGGGCTGAAACCCTCCTCAGAAGACACTGCCCTTACTTCCTGACCTTCCTGGAATCCTGCTTGTTTGTATTTCATGTCCTTTAGCCCCCTCTCACCCTGGCCTTTTCCAGGTACCAGCTTCTACCCCTCACATTCCTCATTGTATTATCCTGTCCATCCACCTTAGCATGTTTCTCAGGTCAAGAAAGAGAACCAGGTGACAAGGAGAAGGTTCAGGAACCACAAATGTCTTTCTCAGTCAATCTTTCTGGCTGATGTGGTTATTCCAAGGTGACTATTTCTTAGAGAACATCAAGGTAAATTAGAGGGAAATAATGTCATTCCTAAAGGTCAGAAGAAAGACTTCCAGGGGAGATGAGATCAGAATGTTCTCTTCGAAGAAGTCTTCTATTACCACAGTTTCTAACTTGAAATGTTCTGCCCTGAAAGCCTGTTACAAAAGTATGCATCCTCCATTCATTATTAACCCAGGACAAATGCAACTGGCCTTCTTGCCACTGTACTTTGTGTTCACTTGACCCATAAACTTCCAAATTATTGAGTACTTTAGAATGGGAGAAAGGAGCTCTGGTGGTGTAGTGCCGAAGGCATTTGACTGCTTACCAGAAGTTTGGTGGTTCAAACCACCAGCCTCTCTGCAGAAGGAAGACAGGGCAATCTACCACCTCAGAAACTGAATGGGAGTCGCTATGGGTTGGAATCGACTCGATGGCTTTGAGTTTTGGTTGGAACGGGAGAAGGTCCTTAGAGATCATCTAGGGCCCAAATTCTAGTCCCATCCCCCCATTGGAGAGATGGAAAACCAAGGCCCAGAGAGGGGAAGTAACTTGTCCAAAGCCACACAGCATGTCAGTGACATCCATCATTGCTACCCCTTAAAAGACAGTCCTGTTCATTTGACTGTTCTGTCTCCCATGGAGAGGAAATGGGAGGCTTTCGGGGACTTTCTACTTGCCAGCGACCAGAGTCCCAGCTTTCACCAACAGGAGCAGAGACGCAGCCCAGGGAGCCAAAGAGCCATCTAAGCTGCAGGCCTGGAAAGTCGGCCCCCGGCGGGAGGCCCCGCTGATCCCTCTGCCCCCGTTCCAATCCTGGTTAGGCTGCTGCTAGCAACGCTCAGTGCGGGCGCTGGCTCAGCGCTGTTCTTCCAGACTTCTGCTTTACCGCTGCCTTGTGGGCCCTGGCTCGGTGAGCCCAGGGCTCCAGCAGGTCGGGAAGACCAGAGTACAGGGGCCAGGGAGGGCAGGAGATAGCACAGCAGGGGCCGCAAGGAAGGGCGCCTGGCCTTGGGGACACAGCCTGGCCACACAGCCCTCCGAGGAGGGAACCCAGGTGTTCCCGTCCCCTGCAAAAGGCTTCTTGGCCAGTACACCAAATGTGGCTACTCCCAGACAACCAGGTTGCTAGAACCCACAGCTAGCTTGGATGGTTTTGCATCTGATCTTGTTACCTGCAACACCCTGGATCTCGCAGACCCCTACCACAGCTTGAATTTTGCTGAGAGCTCAGGGCTCCGACTGAGGGAGCAGAAACACACTAGAAAGGCAGCCCTGTGGACTAGGAGCTCGGCTGTGCTCTTGGGAAGACACAGAGTGGCAGGGTGAGGGTGATGGACCCGTCCCACCTGCCTCTGTGGACTGACAAGATGCCCACGTGCACAGATGGCGGTGCCCAGGAGCCTTTCTGGATACCTTACACCTCCTCCATGGGAACACATAAAGGTCATCGGGCTGGACAGGATGCAGCGCAGAATGTTCCCATTGACTCACGCACTCATTCAAGACAAACTGAAGAATAATAAAAATAACAGCTGTCATTTATTGAGTGCTTACTACACACCAGACGCTGTTCTAAGCCCTTTACAAGCACCATCCCACTCATCCTCACAAACGCCCTGCTAGCCCGGAAAGTAAGATGCCCAGTTTGCAGATGAGAAAACCAAGAAGCAGAGAGCTTGCCCAAGTTCACAGGGCAGAGCCAGGAATCAAAATCAAGTCTGTCTGATTCTGAGGTCTGTGTCCTTGCTGTCCTGAACCTGTGTCCCACTGATAGGTGTTTTCGCTTTGATCCCCTACCACCCACTGCTGTGGCACTTCCCTGTGCCAAGCTCTAGGCTGCAGGTATATCACGAGGGTCCCTGGACATAGAGATGGAGGAGTGAAGGTTGCAGCAAAGTAGTTGTCACATAAGAGAGGGTGTGCTCAGAGAGGGTCACAGAGGGTGGTCACAACACTTTGAGGGCAGGCCCCTTCCAGTGCACCACCAGGGGGACAGCAGGGCACGTGGAAGCAGGAGGAAGGAGGATGTTCTGAATACAGAGAGGAAAGGAAAGGAAGGAAGAGGCTAGGGATGTGCCCCCACAGACAGCTTCACGAAGCCCGGTCAGGGGGCGGTGCAGGGAGCAAAGCTGGAAGGCACACTGGGGCCAAAGCGCCCAGGATCAGGGCAGTGCAGTTGTAAGGAAGACAAGAGAAGGCAAAGGTGGGACCTCAAAGCAGCCTGGCTGCCCACTTGTCCAAAGTTTGTGCCTAGTATGGGGTGCTCTCCAGGCACCACTTTTTTGGTCAACCGCTGGCATCTGCCCTGGCACAGGGTCTCCTGGAGAAAATGAGTCAGCAGCATGCTCACTGGTGCCCTGTGTGTGTTGCGGTAGGGGGCGGGAATCTCAGTTGGCCAGCTTTTTCCAAGACATGGAGAAGAAGGGGGGAATCATCCCCCTGATTCCCACCCAGAGGGGGCAGGGCATAGTAGGGAGGGCGGGGCTACAGCCCGGAGTAGCCTCTTGGGAGTGTCCTCCGGGTCCTGGTGGGAAAGGAGCTGGTCCTGTGCTGCTAGGGGCACCGTGCTGTAGCCACGGGGCACAGGGCCCCAGGGGCTGCTCCAGCCTCTCCCATCTCCACACGCCCACACTCGGTGACTCGCTCTTGTACTTGCTCTGTGTCTCTTACAACTCCTACTCCACAGGCTGGGAATCGGAACTTGCGGCACAGCCCCTCTTTGCAGAGTCCCCGCGCTCCCCACCTGGGGCACCACATCTCCACAGGGGAGGCTGAGCTTGGTGACCTCCCGGGACCCTTTCTGCTCTGATGTGCTAGCTTTCTCTGTCTCTCTCTCTCTGTGTGTGTCTCATGGGAAAGAGAGAGGCACTGACACCCCCCAGAGAGTTAGGGTAACACTGAGACACACAGATCTAGACAGACTGACAACACACCAAGATTTCCAGAACCATGAGGCATGCAGAGACACACACACACAGAGAGACTGGAGCAGAACTCGAAAGCCAGAGACCTAGAAACCTGCGGAGAGCTTCACAGGAACAGAAAGAAACGGAGACGTCAGACTCAAGACCTGCAGACCCTGAAACGCCGGAACACACCGAGACATCGAGAAACCCAGACCCCTCCTTCCTCAGGCATCCAAAAAGTCCCCCTCAGGCCCCCGCCGCCGCTCCAGGCGCCACATCCACCCCCACCCACCGACCCCAGGGCTGGCCCAGCACCGACCCTCCCCAGCTCGGCCCTCGTCCCAGCGGGGCTGGGCAGCCCCGGCAGCGCTCGCCAACCTTCGGCGGAGCCGGAGGCGCAGTCCGCGTTAACCCTTGGCTGCCTGCTTCGCGAGGGCGCAGGAAGGGACAGGAAGCTGACGTTCCGCTGGAACCGTCCAGCGCAGCAGGGAACCCCCGGGCCTCCCAGAGGCTAGAGCAGCAGGAAGCTGGGCAGGGGGGTCCCCGAGCTCTTACTCACCGCCCGCGCGCC